CCAGACATCGAACAATGTGCCAGCTTTATCACTATTCCCTGAAGGGGGGTAGACACGAGGCAGTGTGGCAGTAAGGACGCTAGGCCCCGAAGCGAGGTGGATTTGGGGGCGATCCCACACCGATTAGAGGAAAGAAAGAGTGTTGTCCCTGAATGGGGTGGATTGTGATGTCCCAATTAGTTGGGGAGGAGAACAAAACACCATTTATAAAAGTGTGAAACCTTCCCCTAACAGACGCGTTTTAAAGCCTTGAGGGGAAGCCCGAAGAAGACAATATCTACTAGCAGTGGATATGGATCGTTACACATTGCTAACGGTTATTATTCGCTTTGACCCATTATGTATCACTGTCAACCTCACGGTCTTAAAACATGTCTACTCGGAAGATGTTTCCACACCCATCTAAGAAAGATTTAGTTCCCCTATCACGACCCTATAGGAACCAATACTTCCCGAACTTAGAGGCATTACCATACCATAGGCAAGCATGTTCGAGTATTTGGAGGCACGTGTTTTGTATAATTCAATAATTTAAATTTTCAAACAAAAAAAGAAAAATTTATATGACAAATCATAGACATACAAAGCTCCAATGGTCCCATTAGAATATCTCTCTACCACTTCATATAACAGAGCACTAAAATAAGTACAAACAAAACCTGATGATAGTTACAAACAAACTATCAAGAACCAACCATACAGTTTATGAGGAAGAGAAGCCGAGCTCCAAGTTAGAACCGCGCTGACGATGTTCTTCGAAGCTGATACTTCGGCTCGGGCGAGGGGGTCGATGGTAGCAAATTTTCCATCTCCTACAGGTAAAACAAACTCCTTAAGTAGATACAACCACAAATATTTAAGATACCCTTTCGGATCGAGTAGGCGATGATTGTACGAAATCCAGTTTAAACGAATCCTACGATCCTATCTTCTATCGATTGTTTCAACGCTTCCCGTTAAAGCAATAATTTGGCATCAACAAATGAGTGGTTTAAACTCAGAACTTATTTGGTCTGGTCGAGCGTTTTCAAGAAAATCGTCTTTTCGCTATAGTACGCTTTTCAGTAGATTTTCTTAACCCAACACCTTACGGCACGAGCTCACGACAGTCATGTACCACCACCCGAGAAGAAAATCCACTCAAAAAAGCAAAAGGAAAAAATAAACGACCTATAGGATAAAAGGTCATTGTCCCTTTTCCTATAGAGGGGTTAACCTGCAACAGCTCAAGCTCACCACTTGCAGATATTGTCCACTTTGGTCTGTTACGTATCGCCGTCAACCTCACGGTTTTAAAACATGTCTACTAGGGAGAGGTTTCCACACCCTTATAAGGAATGTTTTGTTCCCCTCTCCAACAGATGTGGGATCTCAAAGTCCACCCCATGGGAGCCCAACATCCTCGTTGGCACACCGCCCGGTATCTAGCTTAGATATCATTTATGTATCATCGTCAGCCTCACGGTTTTAAAACGCATCTACTAAGGAGAGGTTTCCACACCCTCGTAAGGAATGCTTCGTTCTATACGATGCGATTGTAGTGTGATAGCATCCAATTAAATGACATGAAACTTATAGGATGAACTCTGATCTAAAACCGTGCGTTCATCCTTATACTTCGTTAAGAACCCTACAGAATCTAGTAAATCATAAGACGGGTAGCAATGTAGAAAACTTAAAAGTACCGCCTAATAAGAGGACACGTGTTTCGAGCCCTTCATCTGCAAATCTATATATATATATTTATATATGTATATATATATTCCACATCCAGCCATGTTCGAGTTTGACGAACACTAACCTTACGTTTCCTGAGCCTTTCGTTTTCCTCTTCCAAACGCGAAACTTTGTTCTCCAGTTCATTGGTATAAGCCTGTTGAAAGTGGCAACTAAGTTATACATATTGAAGTGCTCCTAACTTTTAAATCTACAGGAGCTTTTTTAAAAATCACCTGCTTCCTTGCTCGTGAACGAGCGGCAGATTCCCGATTCTTTATCATCCTTTTCTGTCTACGCTCGACAGTTTTCTCGATCATGTCTTCAGACGCTCCCCTTTTCCTTCCAGATGTCTGTGTGTCAGATAACGCTCCGACCAATGGCGTTGGCAATGCCAACTGATTGTCTACATATGGACCATCTATCACGGTGCCAGCCCCGACGTGCATCGGCTGGGGAATAGGCTGGCTCGGCATGTAAACCCCCATCATTGCTGTTTGTTGAGGCTGATATTGAACTTGGGGGAACTGCATCCACTGTCCTTGTTGGGGGAACTGTGGTGTGATGTTTGCGTCGACTTCAACAACAGGACCTGCACCTTTCTTATTCGGTGACGTCTCAGCAACGACCCCGGCTTTAACCAGAAAATCTTCCAATGTCATCTCTCCCAACGTAGGTTGTCGTTCACAAGACTTCTTCTCCTCACTATCTTTGCTTTGTTGAATGTCTCTCCACACCTCGTCAACCGTCTTTTTACTTAGAGCACCATTCAACGTGAGACTACCCTGACGTTGTTGGGGCGTTAGGTTCGACAAAACAGTATTGTCTTCATTGTCCTTACCGACGTTTTGGTTAGCCTCAGCGGTCCACACATTCTTAAGAAGCTCATCAAGATTCATACTGATTAATGGCTTTCCTAGATCACCCAACTGGTTTTGGACCTCATCCAAAGTGAGACTATATAGCGAGTTTTGTCGAACCAATGGCTCCAATTGCGATTGTTTGCCATTCGGATCACCTCCGCCTTCAGACCCCATCGTTTGAATCCCCATTCACATAATCCAGCTCAAATTTTAATCCATAGCTCAAACGAAAACTTCGAAAACCGTCTCATTCAACTCGTCGAGAAACAAAGCAGATGAGTTATACAAACAACCCAATGAAGTTCTGCATAAGATATGAATCAAGAACTAAATCAAATATATATAAATATCAGACGCTAACAAAGCAAGGAAATGATCATGGGTTTATAAGTAAAGAATACATCTCCATTAGTACGAGGCCTTTTGGGGAAGCCCAAAGTAAAGTCACGAGAGCTTATGCTCAAAATGGACAATATCATACCATTACGGAGAGTCGTGATTCCAAACATGGTATCAGAGTCATGCCCTTAATTTAGCCATGCCAATAGAATCCTCAAATATCAAACAAATAAGTTGTGAGCCTCGTAGTCAAAAGTGACTCAAGTGTCAAACAAAGAGTGTACTTTGTTCAAGAACTCCAGAGAAGGAGTCGAGCCTCGATTAAGGGGAGACTATTCGAGAGCTCCATAGGCCTCAAAGGAGGCTCTATAGTGAACTTTGTTCGAGAGGAGGATTGTTGAGAATTATTGGAAGGGAGTCCCACGTTGCCTAATTTAGGGAATGATCGGTAAGGAATACATCTCCATTGGTACGAGGCCTTTAGGGAATAAGCCACGAGAGCTTATGCTCGAAGTGGACAATATCATACCATTATGGAGAGTCGTTAAGTCGTGATTCCTAACGCAAATTTCATAAACGGAGTTAAATGGCAGATAAAACCCAGCATGCAGAGACATAATACAGAGCCAATAGCCTTAGCTGATCAAGAACTGATAAAACCCTAAAGCTAAACACATAACCCAACAAAAACATTATAGAGCTAGAAAAATGCTTCAGAACAAGGATCAAAAGCTACTTTTCTGAAGAAAACTGCAAGAAATTGAATCCAAGACAGACTTTGAATCTTTGATCAAACTAAGAACAGGAAATATATTAAAACTTCACAACCAAAGAGATTCATAATGGATGAACAAAGTGAAAACACACAACAACAACAGCTCTGCATGTAACAATATCAGTGAGTTCATCTGAAAATCTCAAAAAATTCAAGAAACCCAAATGGGGGAAACACAAAAACAACATTCTGAGGTGAATCCAAGTAGGTAAAACACAAATTTCCAGAGAAAATCAAACAAAAAAGGCTCAAGAACACCAAAATGAACAGAAATCTCAAATGAGTAATGCAAAGAACCACAAAAAAAGGCTGAAAAATGGAAAAAATGATAGGGAAAATGAATTGAAGTGATACCTGAAGAAGAATTCAACGAAGAACAAGAAGAACGATCTGAAAAGTGTAAAGAACAGAGTGAATTAAGAACAAAAGCATAAAAAATGCATCATATGGGATGAATTAATAACAGAGGAAAGAACAAAAAAATGGGGGGAAAAAAAGGGGAAGAAAATGGAAGAGAAGGCCAAGCCCAGTTGTGAGAGTGGGATGTGGAGAAACAAAAGGGAAAATTTTATAATTTTTATTGTCTGAAAATTATAAAAAAAAAATCAATTTTTTAAAAAGGAAAAAAAAACTTTAATTGGCCAAATTTCTGAGTCTTCGTTCTTGGAGTTTTGGAATTGAAGGAAAAATAATTCCATGTTCACGCCCTCATGCTGTAATGATGAGACCCCATTTTCATTTGTCTACTTCTGCCACCATTTACGAGGGTTCTGTTCCCCTCCACACTCTATAAATAAATTTATTTTTACTGAAATTTTAATAATATTAAATATATGTAAAAAAAAAAGTAATATTTTTAAAAAATAATTATTGAATTACAAATTATGTAATTTAGTTTGTATCGTTCGAAAAAGTTATAACTTATACGAGAGTTTTCTGGCGAAATTTGGCGAGCGTTTATAAATTAATTGAATTTGTTGGTAGTAAAGCTTATATCGGAAATAATTTAGTTTCCATGTATAGTTCAAAAAAGGCGAATCTTTATACACGTGTATGCAATGCACAAGTTGGACCACCGACCTATAAAAATATGAAAAATATTTATTTTGGTTCATAAATAATAATTCTCATGGAAATATAAAGTCGTCTCTAATTTTTTATAATAAGGAAATGACTTGGAATTTGAAGTAGGTTTCGAGCTTTTTGTTCAAATATGAGATTAGCGAATTCGTAACCTAAATTTTTTATGTTACGAGTTTTTTAATCGTTTAGGGTAAATAATATCACTATTTCTATACGAAATTACATAGAAATACAAAAGTTCGATATAATTTCAAATGATATATAAGAATCAAATCATTGATCATTGAAACGAGTAGTATATTAACCTAATTCGAGAGTTGAGCGCTCGGGATTTAATTGGATATGTGTTCAAATACTCGGCTGCATACATCTGTTTGGCCTCCTCCACAGCATCAACCTTTCATCACCTTTCATCACAGCTTTTAAGAGTTCATTGGCATCTATTGTATGTATGTTTGCTTAGTTTCATTGTATCGACCAGACATTGGGCGGTTGCTGGCAAGGACGTTGAGGTCCCCTTCCTTATAAAGGTGTGGAAACCTCTCTTTAGCAGACGTGTTTTAAAAATCGTGAGGCTGATGACGATACGTAACGAGCTAAAGCGGACAATATCTATTAGCAGTGGGCTTGGATTGTTAGACGACAAATATATGTTAGCAGTAGAGGCTTAGATGCTCATGGCCTTTTCGAATGTTGTCTAGGCGGGTTGTTTGGTGGAGGGTCATGACTACTATTGGGCAGTTCTGCATATTCGAACGGTCTAGTGTACGGATTCTGTTTCGATTTGATCTTTCGAGCTGGAGGAGTGAAATGATGCACTCGTCTCTGAGTTTCCGATTTGCAGTGGATAGTTTTCAATCTTCGTTTGTGCCCATCGACTCGAGCAATTCCCTCGGAGTCGTCTCACATGGGCGTGTGCCTATTCCACAAAATGAACATTGTTATACAAGAACAAAAAACCTTTTAAAACCAACCTCAAGGCGTCCTGATGTCAAGGACAACTATCCTATAAAAAGAAGCTTTGGAAGAACCATAGTAAGCAAGGAAATAAAAAATCTCTTTAATCCAATTACCTCGTATAATACAAAACAAAACTTTGCAACAGCATACTGGAGCTTCTATCAATGGAGCAAATTCAAGACCACGAGCATCTCGCTCTGATACTATTTGTAACAGTCCAAATTCACCGCTAGCAGATATTGTCCGCTTTATCCTATTACGTATCGTCGTCAGCCTCACGAATTTAAAACGCATCTACTAGGAAGAGGTTTTCATACACTTATAAGGAATGTTTCGTTCTTCTCTCCAACTGATGTGAGATATCACAAATCACCCCCTAGGGGGCCAGCATCCTCACTAGCACACCGTCCGGTGTCTAGCTCTGTTACCATTTGTAACAGCCCAAGCCCACAACTAGCGGTGCCTTGGCTCGTTACGTATCGCCGTCAGCCTTACGGTTTTAAAATGCATCTACTAGGAAGAAGTTTTCACACTCTTATAAGGAATGTTTTGCTCCCCTCTCCAACTGATGTAGAATCTCGCAATCCACCCCCTTGGGGACCAGCTTCCTTACTAGCACAACACCCAATGTCTGCCTCTAATATCATTTGTAACAGTCTAGCTCAAGCCCACCGTTAGCAAATATTGTCCTCTTTGGCCTGCTACGTATCATCATCAGCCTCACAGATTTAAAACGCGTCTACTAAGGAGAGGTTTCCACACCCTTATAAGAAATGGTACACCTATTTCTTGATCCAAAGAAGTGAAGATAGGTCGAGGATGGTGGAAAGGCGACATTCTGATTAAAGGCTGCTAAAAGCTTTTGATTATTGATAACTTTCTGGTTGTTCAATTTAAACTTAAGAAGACTATTGACAGCAATTCATGCAGCTGTATATGCATTTACATTGAAGCATCTGTTCATTATATTCCCATTTCTGGCCTGCATAGCAAGGACTTCAATGAGGCACATGTCAATTGCAACTGACCAAACAACATTCCTTCCTTTGTGCTTTACATCTCTTCTTTTCCCTAGCAGGTCATAGGACCCCATTCCTGTATAAGAAGAATGTATAGAAAGTTCTTTGGCGTCCATTTGATTCGACCCGGAGCAATTCAATTGCCTTTTAATATAAATGGACTTGAAGAACTTTACGAGTAAGGAAAAATCAAATGTCTACTTACTTTTAGTCATCTAGAGACAAACTATGAGATCCTACATCGATTGGGGAGGAGAACGAAACATTCTTTATAAAGGGTGTGAAAACCTCTCCCTAGCAGACGCGTTTTAAAAACTTTGAGGAGAAACCTGAAAGGGAAAGCTCAAAGAGGGTAATATCTGCTAACAGTGGGCTTGAGCTGTTATAAATGATATCAGAATCAGACACCAGACAATGTGCCAACAAGGAGGCTGAGCCTTGAAGGGGAGTGGACACGAGGCAATGTGCCAGTAAGGACGTTAGGCCACAAAGGGGGGTGGATTGTGAGATCCCACATCGGTTGGAGAAGGGAACAAGTGTCGGCGAGGACACTGGGCCCCGAAGGACCCTCTCCCTAGCAAACGTGTCTTAAAAACCTTGTGGAAAAGCCCAGAAGGGAAAGCTTAAAGAAGACAAAATCTACTAGCAGTGGGCTTGAGCGGTTACACAAGCCAAATGTACCCACGCAATGACTGCAGAATGACTGCAGAAAAAAGAAGAAAAATCAAATGAATAGTTAAAAACATAACACAATTTAAGATAACATTTGATATTTATTGACAGAGCATGAGAGAGCATATATTTCCTTCAGAAGTTAATAAGAATTGAGAAATCATCGTTGCAGTCAATCATGCAACTACTTGTGAGATATTGTAGAACTGGAACGACTGGGATATGCCACTGGAGTTCAGTGTACAATTACTAGTTTAACATCTTTTGAGCTTGTGGAGGTGGAAAATTTAGTATATAATTACGAGGTGGGAAATTTAGTATACAGTTCGTTTTAACGTGACAAGGATCGTTGTAAGATATTTCAGCAGCCCACGCAAGACTCTACCAGTAGACAACCCCGGAGACGTAGGGCTTGCAGAAGGTTAAACTAATTTTGTAACAGCTCAAGCCCACTGTTAATAGATATTGTCCTATTTGGATTTTCCATTTCGGGCTTCCCCTCAAGGTTTTTAAAACGTGTCTGCTAGGGAGAGATTTCCACACTCTTATAAAGCATGTTTCATTCCCCTCTCCAACTGATGTGGGATCTCACAATCCACCCTTTTTCGGGGCCCAGCGTCCTCGCTGACACTTGTTCATCTCTCCAATCGATGTGGGATCTCACAATCTACCCTCCTTCAGGACCCAGCGTCCGCGTTGGCATACCGCCCGGTATCCGGCTCTGGTACCATTTGTAACAGTCCAAGCTCATCACTAGCAAATATTATCCTCTTTGGGTTTTCCCTTTCGAGCTTCCCCTCAAGGTTTTTAAAACGCGCTAGGAAAAAGTTTCCATATTCCCCTCTCCAACTGATATGGGATCTCACAAATTCACCCCTTTTTGGAACCTAGCATCCTCGCTAGCACTCGTTCCTCTCTCCAATCGACGTGTATCTCACAAATTCTAACAAAGTTCAAACCAGAGAATTTGAAGAAATTCTCAATTGAAATGATTATAAGCCAAACAAAATCACTCACATGAGCGGAGCGCTAAAAAGACATTTAACAGGCAATTGATTGTACTGTTCCCAAACTCATTCCTATACAAAATTGCAGTTCTCAGGGGCAAAAATCTCTAAATGACACCCAAATCAGGCATTTCTATATTGGTTTAGATACCTTGCACTATGCCTTATTGAAGATGAAGGGTCACCCTAAAGTAGATAAACATAAAGACAGGAGCTACTAATAGCAGTTGAGAGAATGCATCATCATAAACAGTTCATTTCAACAATACTTTCATTCATTCTCTAAATGATGTAAATGGAAACCATATAATTGCGGTAAATACCAAGAGTTAGAATCCTAATAAAACTCGAACGGAACGAAGAACCGAGGAGCATTTGAATTCAGGTACCTTTCTCTAAAGCTTTAAATATCATGTAATTCCCATGACAAACATCTTTTATTCTCTCTATAACAGCCCAAGCCCACCGCTAGCCGATATTATACTCTTTGGGCTTTTCCTTTCGAGCTTCCCCTCAAGGTTTTTAAAATGCGTCTGCTAGGGAGAGGTTTCCATACCCTTATAAAGGGTGTTTCGCTCTCCTCCCAACCGATGTGGGATCTCACACTCTCTAAACTATATGCAACATTGTTTGAGAACAACCTTAGTTCTTTTAGCTCCATGTTAAAAACAAATGTAATTTGAAAATTAACATTAACAAGGCCAGTTGATTGTATACTCTTTGAACAGAACAGTTTCAGATTTAGACGAACACAACAAAATCTCAAAATCCCTCGGTTCCACTATCACGAACAAACTTCCAGCCAGTATGAAACAATAGGGCCCAAAATTGGACAAGGGTCAAGATGCAATTTCGAGGCAGATCCCTTTTTTCTTTGCCTTTACAATCCCCCCCTAAAACTTGTTTCTCACCAACTTGGATTTCGAGTCCTATCTCTTTAGACAAACAAAACAAAATCTCAAAATGTCAAAATCTCCACGGTTCTACTATCACGAACAAATTTCCAGCCAGTATGAAACAGTAGGGCCCAAAATTGGATAGGGTTCAAGACACAGATTCGAGGCAGATCTCTTTTATCTTTCCCTTTACGATCCCCCCTAAAACTCGTTTCTCCACGAACTTGGACGTCGAATCCTATCTCTAAGGGACATAATTTTCAAGCCACACAATGCAGGTTGTAGGCAAGCATGAAAAATGAATTCATAGCGTAACAAATTCCATTTCAAAAATCTCATATGTAAATACATCAGCCACCAAAGATCACCAAATAAAACCAAGTAAAAAGCAACGAACAGTTCAATGACTGCAGACACAGAAAACAGACATCTCCATAGAAAAACATACAACTTCTGGACAATTTTTCTTGATCAATCCATACCATAAAATTACATATTCACTTACTTCCAATTCCTCAGACTACACAACACTGAAATTTCTTCTGGATCCCTACTAAAATTCTCTGAATCGGAGTTTCAGCCAAACTAGACTCTCAAACAAAGATTGAAGAAGAATACCTCAACCCGTCCGGCGCAAGTTCATGGAGAGGGCAAACTCAGGGTAGGAGTAACAAAACGATCGGATTATTAATTAGATAAAAAAAGAGTAATAAAAAAGATGGAAATAAATAAATTTTAAATAGAAATAAATAAAAGATGGAAATAAATATATTTTAAATAGAAAAATTAAAATCATAACTAAAATATATGTAAAAAATAAAGATAAGTGAGAAAATTAAATAAATGGGTGAAAAAAAAATATAAGGAGATTTATTTTATTTTTTAATATATATATATATATATATATATATATATATATATATATATATATATTAAAAACAAATTTTAGAAATAGACGAGAGAGACAAAATAATAATAATAATAATAATAA